TCTTAGGGCTAATGGTTACTCCGACTATACAATCCGCAAAGCTATCACTCAAACCATGAAGAAGAACCCTCTTGAGGAGCCTTTCAAAACCATCACTTTACCCTACATTGCTGGGATCACAAAAAAGATCTCCAAAATCTTGAATAAACACAAGATCCAGGTCCGTTTCAACACATTACATAAAATCCGTGATCTGGTTCCGTCTGTAAAAGATGTGATTCCGGACATACAATACCCTGGTGTCTACAAACTAAGTTGCCTCTGTGGTAGTAGTTACATTGGAGAAACCAAACGCCATATCTCGGACCGCATTCGTGAACATAAAGCAGACCTTAAACACGGTAGGACCAACACCTCGGCCGTAGCAGATCATTGTTCTAATTCAGTAGGCTCACATGCCATTGACTTTTCCAAGACGGAGGTTCTTTGTAAGCCATCTGGCTTCCATGAGAGATTCGTTCATGAGGCTATCCACATATACAAACACAGAGACAATTTCAACCGAGAAGATGGATTCTATCTTAGCAATCATTGGAAAGATTTGATAAATCATTTCAGTTCTTGATTGATTGTTCACGCTTACAGTGGCTTTCAGACAGCATACATAAAAACAAATTTCGTCTCCCCCCTCCTCTTTTCAAAAAATAGATGGACTAGTCCTGGCAAACTGCCAATCGTTGCGCGTGACGCAAACGTTATTTATATATATAAATAAATATGACGTTTTCAAAATAAATTTATGCAAACCGACACACCTGATGATGACCGTTTGAGTTGTGGTCGAAACGTCGTGAGAATTTTTTATTGTTTTATATATATTTTGTTATTTTGTTGTTTCTCTTCAACGTGACTTTACCGAAAAAACTAAGAATATGTTGATGATGTTGTTGATGTTTCTGATGTGGAGTGATGATGATGTTGTTGATTTGGAGTGATGTTGTTGATGTTGTTGATGGTGTTGATGTGGAGTGTTGTTGATGTTGTTGATGTTGTTGATGATGATGATGTTGATGTTGTTGATGTTGATGATGTTGATGTTGTTGATGTTGTTGTTGATATTGTTGTTGATGTGGAGTGATGATGTTGATGTGGAGTGATGTTGTTGATGTTGTTGATGTTGTTGAGTGATGTTGAGTGATGTTGTTGATGTTGTTGATGTTGTTGAGTGATGTTGTTGTTGTGGAGTGATGTTGATGTTGTTGATGTTGTTGATGTTGTTGAGTGATGTTGATGTTGTTGATGTTGTTGATGTTGTTGAGTGATGTTGTTGATGTTGTTGATGTTGTTGAGTGATGTTGTTGAGTGATGTTGTTGATGTTGTTGATGTTGTTGTTGATGTTGTTGTTGATGTTGTTGTTGATGTTGATGATGTTGCTGTTGTTTTTGATGTTGTTGATGTTGTTGAGTGATGTTGATGTTGTTGAGTGATGTTGTTGATGTTGTTGTTTTGTTGTTGTTGTTGTTGATGTTGTTGATGTTGTTGATGTTGTTGTTGTTGATGTTGATGATGTTGTTGTTGATGTTGTTGATGTTGTTGATGTTGTTGAGTGATGTTGTTGAGTGATGTTGTTGATGTTGTTGATGTTGTTGAGTGATGTTGTTGATGTTGTTGTTGTTTTGTTGTTGTTGTTGTTGATGTTGTTGTTGTTGTTGATGTTGTTGATGTTGTTGTTGTTGTTGATGTTGTTGATGTTGTTGTTGTTGATGTTGATGATGTTGTTGTTGATGTTGTTGATGTTGTTGATGTTGTTGAGTGATGTTGTTGAGTGATGTTGTTGATGTTGTTGAGTGATGTTGTTGATGTTGTTGTTGTTTTGTTGTTGTTGTTGATGTTGTTGATGTTGTTGTTATTGTTGATGTTGTTGATGTTGTTGTTGTTGATGTTGATGATGTTGTTGTTGATGTTGTTGATGTTGTTGATGTTGTTGAGTGATGTTGTTGAGTGATGTTGTTGATGTTGTTGAGTGATGTTGTTGATGTTGTTGTTGTTTTGTTGTTGTTGTGGAGGTGTCTGCGATGGAGCTGGGTGGATCTGAGCTCCGTGACCGCGACGCCACCAGAGTCTACCTCTACGAGGGCCTTCTGGGTAATCACATCACCATGACTACCATCACCATGACTACCATCACCATGACTACCATCACTACCATCACTACCAGAGTCTACCTCTACGAGGGCCTTCTGGGTAATCACATCATCACCATGACTACCATCACCATGACTACCATCACCATGACTACCATCACCATGACTACCATCACTACCATCACCACCAGAGTCTACCTCTACGAGGGCCTTCTGGGTAATCACATCATCACCATGACTACCATCACCATGACTACCATCACCATCACCATGACTACCATCACTACCATGACTACCATCACCACCAGAGTCTACCTCTACGAGGGCCTTCTGGGTAATCACATCATCACCATGACTACCATCACCATGACTACCATCACCATCACCATGACTACCATCACCATGACTACCATCACCACCAGAGTCTACCTCTACGAGGGCCTTCTGGGTAATCACATCATCACCATGACTACCATCACCATGACTACCATCACCATCACCATGACTACCATCACCATGACTACCATCACCACCAGAGTCTACCTCTACGAGGGCCTTCTGGGTAATCACATCACCATGACTACCATCACCATGACTACCATCACCATCACCATGACTACCATCACCATCACCATGACTACCATCACTACCATCACCACCAGAGTCTACCTCTACGAGGGCCTTCTGGGTAATCACATCATCACCATGACTACCATCACCATGACTACCATCACTACCATCACCATGACTACCATCACCATGACTACCATCACCATCACCATGACTACCATCACCATCACCATGACTACCATCACCACCAGAGTCTACCTCTACGAGGGCCTTCTGGGTAATCACATCATCACCATGACCACCATCACCATGACCACCATCACCATGACCACCATCACCATGACCACCATCACCATGACCACCATCACCATGACCACCATCACCATGACCACCATCACCATGACCACCATCACCATGACTACCATCACCATGACTACCATCACCATGACTACCATCACCATCACCACCAGAGTCTACCTCTACGAGGGCCTTCTGGGTAATCACATCATCACCATGACTACCATCACCATGACTACCATCACCATCACCATGACTACCATCACCATCACCATGACTACCATCACTACCATCACCACCAGAGTCTACCTCTACGAGGGCCTTCTGGGTAATCATATCATCACCATGACTACCATCACCATGACTACCATCACCATGACTACCATCACCATCACCATGACTACCATCACCACCAGAGTCTACCTCTACGAGGGCCTTCTGGGTAATCACATCATCACCATGACTACCATCACTAACACCATCACTACCATGACTACCATCACCATGACTACCATCACTACCATCACCATCACTACCATCACTACCATCACCATGACTACCATCACCATGACTACCATCACCATGACTACCATGACTACCATCACCATGACTACCATCACTACCATCACCATGACTACCATCACTACCATCACCATGACTACCATCACCGTCACCATCACTACCATCACCATCACCACCAGAGTCTACCTCTACGAGGGCCTTCTGGGGAATCACATCACCATGACTACCATCACTAACACCATCACTAACACCATCATCACCACCATCACCACCATCACTAACACCATCACCACCATCACCACCATCACTAACACCATCACCACCATCACTAACAACACCATCACTACCATCACTAACACCATCATCACTACCATCACCACCATCACTAACACCATCACCATCATCACCACCATCACCACCATCACCACCATCTCCCTGTGTCTCCCTGCCTTTCTGTCTCTCCATGTCTCCGTGCCTCCGTGGCTGTGTCTCCATGTGTCTTCGTGTCTCCGTGTCCCTGTGTCTGTGTGTCTGTGTGTGTCTCTGTGTGTCTCCGTGTGTCCCCATGTGTCTTCGTGTCCCCGTGTCTACGTGTCCTTGTGTCTGTGTGTCTCCGTGTCCCCGTGTGTCCCCGTGTCTAACGTGTCTAATGTGTCTAATGTGTCTCCGTGTCTACGTGTCTCCGTGTCCCTGTGTCTCCATGTGTCTCCGTGTGTCTCCGTGTCCCCGTGTCTCCGTGTGTCTCCGTGTCCCCGTGTCCCCGTGTGTCCGTGTCCCCGTGTGTCTGTGTCCCTGTGTCTGTGCGTCTCCGTGTGTCCCCATGTGTCTCCGTGTCTACGTGTCTCCGTGTGTCTCCGTGTCTCTGTGTGTCTACGTGTCTCCGTGTGTCTCCGTGTCTCTGTGTGTCCCCATGTATCTCCATGTGTCTCCGTGTGTCCCCGTGTGTCTCTGTGTGTCTCCATGTGTCTCCGTGTGTCTCCATGTGTCCCCATGTGTCTCCGTGTGTCTCTGTGTGTCCCCGTGTGTCTCCACGTGTCCCCGTGTGTCCCCGTGTGTCTCCGTGTGTCTCCGTGTGTCCCCGTGTGTCTCCGTGTGTCTCCGTGTGTCTCCGTGTCTCCGTGTGTCTCCGTGTCTCCGTGTGTCTCCGTGTCTCCGCGTGTCCCCATGTGTCTCCGTGTGTCTCCGTGTCTCCGTGTGTCTCCGTGTCTCCGCGTGTCCCCATGTGTCTCCGTGTGTCCCCATGTGTCTCCGTGTGTCTCCGTGTGTCTCCGTGTCTCCGCGTGTCCCCATGTGTCTCCGTGTCTCCGCGTGTCCCCATGTGTCTCCGTGTCCCCATGTGTCTCTGTGTCTCCGTGTCCCCGTGTGTCCCCATGTGTCTCTGTGTCCCCATGTGTCCCCGTGTGTCCCCATGTGTCTCTGTGTCTCCGTTTGTCTCCGTGTGTCCCCATGTGTCTCCGTGTCCCCATGTTTCTCCGTGTCTCTGTGTGTCTCTGTGTGTCTCCGTGTGTCTCCGCGTGTCCCCATGTGTCTCCGTGTCTCCGCGTCTCAGGGAGAGATCGCTTCTCCGTATGGGACCAGCTGGAGGAGGCTGCCATGGAAACATTCTCTCTGAGTAACCACGTTACCGTAGCAACCGTTTCCACGGACACCGCTGCTAGGATACCGTTTACCATGGCAACCAACGATGCGGCCAAACCAATGCGACTGTTACCGTGGCAACTGATGAAACGGCCAGGCCATAGCAACTGTTACCATGACAACTGATGATACGTGCAGGCCGTAGGAACTGTTACCAAGCCCCCGCCCTCCCCCCGTTGCTAGGATACCGTTACCATGGTAACGCATTTTTTGCGGTGTCCGTACTTTGTGTTGCTGGTGACTCTGTGTTGCATGCTGTGTGTGCTGTGATGTGGTGTGACTTTGTGTTGCTAGTGACTTTGTGTTGCTAGTGACTTTGTGTTGCATGCTGTGTGTGCTGTGTTGTGGTGTCACTTTGTGTTGCTAGTGACTTTGTGTTGCTAGTGACTTTGTGTTGCATGCTGTGTGTGTTGTGTTGTGGTGTGACTTTGTGTTGCTAGTGACTTTGTGTTGCTAGTGACTTTGTGTTGCATGCTGTGTGTGCTGTGTTGTGGTGTCACTTTGTGTTGCTAGTGACTTTGTGTTGCTAGTGACTTTGTGTTGCATGCTGTGTGTGTTGTGTTGTGGTGTGACTTTGTGTTGCTAGTGACTTTGTGTTGCTAGTGACTTTGTGTTGCATGCTGTGTGTGTTGTGTTGTGGTGTCACTCTGTGTTGCTAGTGACTTTGTGTTGCTAGTGACTTTGTGTTGCATGCTGTGTGTGTTGTGGTGTGACTTTGTGTTGCTAGTGACTTTGTGTTGCTAGTGACTTTGTGTTACATGCTGTGTGTGTTGTGTTGTGGTGTCACTTTGTGTTGCTAGTGACTTTGTGTTGCTAGTGACTTTGTGTTGCTAGTGACTTTGTGTTGCATGCTGTGTGTGCTGTGTTGTGTTACTAGTGACTTTGTGTTGCTAGTGACTTTGTGTCGTTCTGTGTGTGTTGTGTTGTGACTTTGTGTTGCTAGTGACTTTGTGTTGCTAGTGACTTTGTGTTGCTAGTGACTTTGTGTTGCTAGTGACTTTGTGTTGCATGCTGTGTGTGTTGTGTTGTGGTGTCACTTTGTGTTGCTAGTGACTTTGTGTTGCTAGTGACTTTGTGTTGCTAGTGACTTTGTGTTGCTAGTGACTTTGTGTTGCTAGTGACTTTGTGTTGTGTTGCTAGTGACTTTGTGTTGCTAGTGACTTTGTGTTGTGTTGCTAGTGACTTTGTGTTGCTATTGACTTTGTGTTGTGTTGCTAGTGACTTTGTGTTGTGTTGCTAGTGACTTTGTGTTGCTAGTGACTTTGTGTTGCATGCTGTGTGTGCTGTGATGTGGTGTGACTTTGTGTTGCTAGTGACTTTGTGTTGTGTTGCTAGTGACTTTGTGTTGCTAGTGACTTTGTGTTGCATGATGTGTGTGTTGTGACTTTGTGTTGCTAGTGACTTTGTGTTGCATGCTGTGATGTGTTGTGACTTCGTGTTGCATGCTGTGATGTGTGAGTGATAGTGAGTATATTATATTGATGAGTGAGTGGTGGTGAGTGAGTGAGTGGGTGAGTGCGTGGTGAGCGAGTGGGTGAGTAAGTGGGTGAGTGACTGCGTGGTGAGGGAGTGGGTGAGTGAGTGCGTGGTGAGCGAGTGGGTGAGTAAGTGCGGTGAGTGACTGCGTGGTGAGGGAGTGGGTGAGTGAGTGCGTGGTGAGCGAGTGGGTGAGTAAGTGCGGTGAGTGACTGCGTGGTGAGGGAGTGGGTGAGTGAGTGCGTGGTGAGCGAGTGGGTGAGTAAGTGCGGTGAGTGAGTGAGTCCGTGGTGAGCGGTGAGCGAGTGGGTGAGTGAGTGCGTGGGTGAGCGAGTGGGTGAGTAAGTGCGGTGAGTGTATGGTGAGCGAGTGGGTGAGTGAGTGAGCGAGTGGGTGAGCGAGTGGGTGAGTGAGTGAGTGGGTAAGTGAGTGCGTGGTGAGCGAGTGGGTGAGTGAGCGAGTGGGTGAGCGAGTGGGTGAGCGAGTGGGTGAGTGAGTGCGTGGTGAGGGAGTGGGCGAGTGAGTGGTGAGTGAGCGAGTGGGTGAGTGAGCGAGTGGGTGGTGAGTGAGCGAGTGGGTGAGCGAGCGAGTGCGTGGTGAGTGTGTGGTGAGTGCGTGGTGAGTGTGTGGTGAGTGAGTGTATGGTGAGTGAGTGTGTGGTGAGTGTGGTGAGTGAGTGAGTGTGTGGTGAGAGTGTGGTGAGTGTGTGGTGAGTGTGGTGAGTGTGTGGTGAGTGTGTGGTGAGTGAGTGTGGTGAGTGTGGTGAGTGAGTGGTGAGTAAGTGTGGTGAGTGTGGTGAGTGAGTGGTGAGTGAGTGTGGTGAGTGAGTGGTGAGTAAGTGTGGTGAGTGTGGTGAGTGAGTGGTGAGTGAGTGTGGTGAGTGTGGTGAGTGAGTGTGGTGAGTGTGGTGAGTGAGTGGTGAGTAAGTGTGGTGAGTAAGTGTGGTGAGTGTGGTGAGTGTGGTGAGTGAGTGGTGAGTGAGTGGTGAGTAAGTGTGGTGAGTGAGTGGTGAGTAAGTGAGTGTGGTGAGTGGTGAGTGAGTGGTGAGTAAGTGTGGTGAGTGAGTGGTGAGTGAGTGGTGAGTGAGTGGTGAGTAAGTGAGTGTGGTGAGTGAGTGGTGAGTGAGTGTGGTGAGTGAGTGGTGAGTAAGTGTGGTGAGTGAGTGGTGAGTAAGTGTGGTGAGTGTGGTGAGTGAGTGGTGAGTGAGTGGTGAGTGAGTGGTGAGTAAGTGTGGTGAGTGTGGTGAGTAAGTGTGGTGAGTGAGTGTGGTGAGTGAGTGGTGAGTGTATGGTGAGTGTGGTGAGTGAGTGGTGAGTAAGTGTGGTGAGTGTGGTGAGTGTGTGGTGAGTGAGTGTGGTGAGTGAGTGGTGAGTAAGTGTGGTGAGTGAGTGGTGAGTGAGTGGTGAGTAAGTGTGGTGAGTGAGTGTGGTGAGTGAGTGGTGAGTGTATGGTGAGTGTGGTGAGTGAGTGGTGAGTAAGTGAGTGTGGTGAGTGAGTGGTGAGTGAGTGGTGAGTGAGTGGTGAGTGAGTGGTGAGTGAGTGGTGAGTAAGTGTGGTGAGTGAGTGAGTGGTGAGTAAGTGTGGTGAGTGAGTGGTGAGTGAGTGGTGAGTGAGTGGTGAGTAAGTGTGGTGAGTGAGTGGTGAGTAAGTGTGGTGAGTGTGTGGTGAGTGAGTGGTGAGTGTGGTGAGTGAGTGGTGAGTGTGTGGTGAGTGAGTGGTGAGTGAGTGTGGTGAGTGAGTGGTGAGTAAGTGTGGTGAGTGTGGTGAGTGAGTGGTGAGTGAGTGTGGTGAGTGAGTGGTGAGTAAGTGTGGTGAGTGTATGGTGAGTGTGGTGAGTGAGTGGTGAGTGAGTGGTGAGTAAGTGTGGTGAGTGAGTGGTGAGTGTGGTGAGTGAGTGGTGAGTAAGTGTGGTGAGTGTGCCCTCAGGTAAGGAACGCTCCACGCTATGGGACCAGGCGGCCTTCTGGGAATCGGCCTTCCTGGACGCCGTCTCTCAGGAGAGGGAGGCCCTCGGCATGGACAGAGGCCTACGGGACATGATGGAGCGGTGAGCTCACCACCACCGCTCACCACCACCGCCACCGCCGCTCACCACCGCCACCGCCGCTCACCATCACCACCAACACCACTCACCAACGCCGCTCACCATCACCGCCGCCGCTCACCATCGCCAACGACACTCACCACCACCGCCGCCGCTCACCAACGACACTCACCACCACCACCACCACAGCCGCCACTCACCATCACCGACTGCTCACCACCGCCGCCGCTCACCACCGTAGCTTCTCACCATCACCGCCGCTCACCACCGTAGCTGCTCACCATCACCGCCGCTCACCAACACCACCGCTCACCACCGTAGCTTCTCACCATCACCACCGCTCACCAACACCGCCGCCGCTCACCACCGTAGCTTCTCACCATCACCGCCGCTCACCACCGTAGCCGCTCACCATCACCGCCGCTCACCACCGTAGCTTCTCACCATCACCGCCGCTCACCATCACCGCCGCTCACCATCACCGCCGCTCACCATCACCACCGCTCACCAACACCGCCGCCGCTCACCACCGTAGCTGCTCACCATCACCGCCGCTCACCACCACCGCTCACCGCCAGCATTCCTAGGGGAGAGACCTCCTGTCTGTGGTGACCGTGGTGACGGTGACCGTGGTGACGGTAACCGTGGTGACGGTAACCGTGGTGACGGTAACCGTGGTGACGCTGCAGGTACTCGTCGCTAGGGGAGAGCGAGAGGAAGAGGCTGGAGGAGGAGGAGGACCACCTCCTGTCTGTGCTGCTACACAACATGGTGGCATTCATGAACGTCATGAAGGTGACGGGGGACGGGTGGTGGTGCTGGTGGTAGTGGCATTGGTGGTGCTGGTGGTGGTGGTAGTGACATTGGTGGTGGTGGTGACATTGGTGGTGGTGGTGACATTGATGGTGACATTGGTGGTGGTGGTGGCATTGGTGGTGGTGGTGGTGACATTGGTGGTGACATTGATGGTGACATTGGTGGTGGTGGTGCTGGTGACATTGGTGGTGGTGCTGGTGACATTGGTGGTGGTGGTGACATTGGTGGTGGTGGTGGTGACATTGGTGGTGGTAGTGACATTGGTGGTGGTGGTGACATTGGTGGTGGTGGTGACATTGATGGTGACATTGGTGGTGGTGGTGGCATTGGTGGTGGTGGTGGTGACATTGGTGGTGACATTGATGGTGACATTGGTGGTGGTGGTGCTGGTGACATTGGTGGTGGTGCTGGTGACATTGGTGGTGGTGGTGACATTGGTGGTGGTGGTGGTGACATTGGTGGTGGTAGTGACATTGATGGTGGTGGTGGTGACATTGATGGTGACATTGGTGGTGGTGACATTGATGGTAGTGGTGGTGACATTGGTGGTGG